TTTTTCTATTCTGGAATTTCTGGCATATGGCCTGCTTGCCGCATGATGGCTTTCTTTGGATTTTCTTTTTCCATTCCCTCTGAGCTTTTGCATTGTTTATATCGAAACCACCTGGCCATCTGAAGCTGTTCATTATGCTCTCTGGATTCTGGAGTTGCCGCCTCCGGTTACCGGATAGGTAGTCTTCGGGCCAGATCTACTTGGTGGAACCGCAAAAAAAAGGTTGGGGGTCGACGACGGCCGGACAAGTTCCACTTTGGGATGCGTTCACCATCGCCTGATTGAGATGATTAGGGCTCAGGAGCAGAGGAAAAAGCCCATGGCAGGGTGTGATTGTTGCGATGTCGTCATGAGATGGTGGGCAGCGACTTAGCAGTTGGGCTTTTGGTGGCAATTGCAAACCGATCAGGCCATTCGTATTCCTCGCAACTAGGGTTTCATGTTTTCGTCGGAGGACCATGGCCCATCCTTTTTTCGTGGCGGTGTTCTTGATTGTCGAATCTACAGTCATGTGTTGCTAGCTGCAGAGAGGACGCAAAAAAAAGAAAAAGAAAATCCCAAATAGAGCAGTCTGCAAGTTCTCACGTTTCGAGGACTTGGAGATTTTTGCGGGGCAATGGCGGGGACGGTTCAGTCGCCTTCGGGGCCCCGAAATCATCGTCTGATCTCCGTGCAATCATCACGACCTCTGTTCGAGCTCTCAGAATCTGATTCTGCAGCCATATATCAGCTTTGACCGCTCCAAACTGGTTGTGGATGATTCTTTATAGCTCGTCCAGCTTTAAGTTTTTCCAGCTGAGATGCTCGGCTCTTTGTTCCTGACAGTGTGTGAAAGTGACTGGGGAGAACTGGGGAGAACTGGGGAACTTGGACTTTCCCAGGCAGTCACTTTACCCTAAATGGCGACTAAGCAGTGCTCCTTTAAAGCAGCTCTGCTGTTTCCTGAGTGTTTGTGCTCTTTGGCACGAGATTGTCTTGTTTGAACAGCTATTCAGCAACACTATGATGCAATCCTCCATCTCAGGACTGTTGTCTTCTTCCTCTCTGCTCAGCTCTCACTCGCCTTTATGCATCTCATTAACTTTCCTTCTCCTCATTTGCTGTCTACTGCATCTCTTTATTATTGGTTTCAATATCCATTTTCTTTGCACGCCAACATGTCATCTTCCCTTTTATCTACCTGTCCCTTTGATGGAGTTCTGGCATTCCTGTCCACCTTCTCTTCAGCTGTTCCCCTCTGTTTCTTCTTGGCGGGAACACTGGCCCCCTTCATTGCTTTGTCTTTCTATAATTCCATGCATGTCCGACCCTTTTCTGTCTCAAGTGACCGAGTTACCTACCAAAGACACCATGGTTTCCTTTTTTACAGAAAGACTAACTCTCTTGGAATACAGTCAGATGACTCCAAGATCTGTGTTGTCATGGTCGGCCTTCCGGCTAGAGGCAAGAGTCTCATAGCTGGAAAGGGTACGTGGTTTTACTTTGCTACTCAAGCCTCACTGTCCAAATTAGATACTAATTGTCTGTTCACTAGCAATGCGATACCTCGCCTGGGTTGGCATTCCTGCACGGGTATTCAACGTAGGCAGCTACCGTCGACAAGGTACTCCTCAGCCCTCCGCTACCTTTTTCGATCCTCATAATCCTGAGGGAGAGAAGATGAGACGAGCTGCCGCCGAAGCCGCGATGTCAGATATGCTTCATTGGTTTAAAGCGGGCAAGGGTGTCGTCTCCATACTCGATGCCACGAATTCTACAAGAGACCGCCGCCGCTGGATTTATGAGTCTTGTCGGGATGCTGGCATCGAGGCTTTGTTCGTTGAGTCGATCTGTGATGAAGAGGATCTGATCATGAACAACATCCTCGAAGTCAAGACCACATCACCGGATTACAAGGGCCAGGATCCTGAAATGGCTGCTCTGGATTTCCGTAATCGTATCCGCAACTATGAAAAGGTTTATGAGACCATCGACGAGAATGAGAAACATTACACCTATGTGAAACTCATCAATGTCGGTTCTACTGTGATCATAAACCAGATCAAGGACTACCTTTCGAGTCGATTGGTGTATTACATCCAGAATCTCCATATCAAGCCTCGTTCCATATGGCTTTCTCGCGTAAGTGATCGATCAAATCTTCCACCAAGTTAAAATATACTGATTTTTCTAGCATGGAGAATCCGAGTATAATTTGGTTGGCAAGATTGGAGGAGACTCGAGTATTTCCGAGCGTGGGGAGGCCTACGCGAGGGCTCTCCCTGGTCTCTTGAAAAAGTCTGGCTTCCCACCCAACACCAAGATTGTTATCTGGACGTCCACACTCAGACGTACTATTCAAACCGCTCGTCACCTCGCCGCTGAAACAGGCTTTGAGAAGCTCGAGTGGAAGGCACTTGACGAACTTGACTCTGGTGTCTGTGATGGACTCACCTACGAAGACATTGCCCACAAATATCCAGAGGACTTCGCAGCGCGTGATGAAGACAAGTACAACTATCGCTACCGAGGCGGAGAGTCTTATCGCGATGTTGTTATTCGTCTTGAGCCTATCATCATGGAATTGGAACGTAGTGAAAATGTCATTATTGTTACGCACCAGGCTGTCCTGCGTTGCATCTACGCCTACTTCCTGAATACGCCACAGGAACAAAGTCCCTGGATGGAAGTTCCTCTTCACACATTGATTAAGCTTACTCCTCGTGCGTATGGAACCGAGGAACAGCGTTTCAAAGCCGATATCCCTGCCGTATCAACCTGGCGTGGCAAGGGTACTTCTGCGAAACACCAGGAATTCCCCTCTGACTTGAAACAGTAAACCCGAGCGAGCAAGAGGGTGAAATTCGCGCACAGTCATACTATATTTGAAACATGGTGCCCAAACATATTCCATTACTTTATGCTTAGCATCATCAATCATCCTATTATCTTCTTCAGGCAGCGCCTTTCCCGTCCGTCAATCCTCATTTTTTTCTTGGGCATCAATCCGGCCTTGAAGCGCCTTGTACAGCAATCCATGCCTCCTTTGGAACGCTATTTTATTGCTCGATTCAACTTTTACCTCATGGGCTTTTTTTAACCGACCCTGCACCCTTGTTCATGGTATATGCTCTATATCGTGTGGATCCGATCATTTTCACTGCAGCTCTGGGCCTTACACCCTCGATCATATGAAGATAGCCCTTTCCACCTTACCAAAGCTCCATATGTGTTTGACCAACAGTCCTCATATGCATAGCTAGCTGATGCAAAGATATACACTACTCTCGACACATTTGGAGGATGACGGATTCATGGGTTTCTATTTTCCTATTTGTTTATTGTTCATCAACGTGATTATCCATAATACCACAAATACCAAAAGAAAAGTATAAAATAAATAAAATACAAAGCAGTTTATTGCATAAAAATAAGGGATATGTTATGAATCTTGCAAATAATAGCTTCACCTTCCATGTCTGTTGCCTATGACCTCATCGGTGGCCCTGGCTTACTAATCTATGACTAACGACCAACCATCCGCTGGGGATCGCCGCATAGTGTCACTGCTGCCAGACGGAAAGAAGGTCACAAGCAACGTCCACGCACGACAGCATGGACATTTATGCCGCTTCGGATTTGTGGTTCTTGATATGACAGGTTTCTGTGCCTCTTGATGTGAAGAGGCGCGGTTACACAATCGCGCGGTCAAGCCATGTTGTCTGCATTCACAGCTCGGCCTCTTGTCGAGCTCAAGCAGCGGGACAGGTCCAAGATCGAATCGGTTCTCGCATACGGCGATCGACTCATTGTGGGATTAAATAACGGAAGTCTACGAATTTACCGAATCAACGAACTGACGACCGAGGATCACGAAAATAACCACAATGTCGAAGGGGAGAATGGGAATGGGAGTCCGGTCAAGAACGGGAACGTGGATGTGGATGTGCCCAAGCCGAGGGAAACGGATCTTCTCCGCGAGCTCGAGAAGTTCTCCAGATACAAGGTTGAGCAGTTGGCTTTGATCAAGGAAGCTAAGGTGTTGATTTCGCTATCCGGGGGATATGTCTCGGTTCACGACTCGCAGACCTACACCTTGCAAGAGCAGCTCTCCAAGACGAAAGGAGCTGCGACCTTCGCTGTAACGTCGAATATTGTCAATGATCTCGAAACTGGTGTACCATGGATCGTGTCGCGCCTTGCGGTGGCTGTTAAACGGAAGATACTATTGTGGTCATGGCGTGATATGGAGCTCGAGAGCGATACGGCGGAGATGAGTTTGGTCAGTGGCATCAAGACGCTCACGTGGGTATCTGGTACCAAGTTAGTAGCTGGCCTTGGCTCGAGCTTCGTTTTGGTTGATATTGCGAGTCAAACTGTTACCGATTTAGTCGGGCCGGGAAGCATTGGTGGGCTCCCAGGTCAGGAGACTGGCCGTTTAGCGGGGGTCGGAGTTGCGAGCATGAGCTATATCGGAATGGGCGGTATGGTTCCCAAACCCTTGGCTACTAGGCTCTCTGAAGGGCAAATCCTATTAGCCAAGGATGTAAACACCCATTTCATTGACATCGATGGCAATTCGCTGGGACGCAGGCAGATTCCGTGGAACCAGGCGCCTGTGGATGTTGGGTATTCATACCCTTTCTTATTAGCACTGCATGATGCTTCAAAGGGTTTGCTGGAGGTTAGGAATCCGGAAACCTTTTCATTGCTGCAGTCGATTTCATTGCCATCTGCGAGCATCTTGCACATCCCCCAGCCTAGTATTAGCTTGGCCCACGCCGGCAAAGGATTTTTGGTTGCCAGCGATCGGATTATTTGGAGAATGGAGGCTCAGAGTTACGACACACAAGTTGATGATTTGGTCGAGAAAAGATATCTCGACGAAGCCATCAGTCTGATAAGCATGCTCGAAGATGCTCTTCTAACCAATAAACATGGTCGACTACGGGACGTCAAATTGGATAAGGCCCAAGTTCAGTTTATGGAACGGAAATACTCGGCATCGATTGGCTTATTCACCGAGATTTCAGCACCTCCAGAGACTGTCATTCGGCTCTACCCTAAGCTGATTGCGGGCGATCTCTCCTCCATAAACGAAGAAGAGGACGACTCAGATGAAAGCATCCCAGATAGCCCATCAAAGCAGACCGGATCACCGGCGAAGGTTGATGGGGCGAACGAAGACTCCCCCAGCCCGAAAACCCTCGCGCATGCTCCATCCATGAAGTCTTTTCTCCGCACGAGAACTGATGACTTCAGTGACGCGGGTAGCTTTCGTGGGAAGCCCGTGGAAGAAGCACAGATACAAACAAGCAAGAGACTTGAAGGGAAAGACCTCAAGGATGCGGTTTATGAACTTCAAAAGTATCTGGCGGATGCTCGTAGGAGGTTCCAGCGCTTTTTGAATCCTGATGGGTCACTGAAAGTAGTCGGGCCGCCTGAAAATGCAGTGTCTGATGAGCTCACGGACATTGTCATGAAACTACTCGGCATATCAGACAAGGACCAAGATTATGACTTTGGTGAAATCCTCCGAGAAAAGGCTACACTTGTTGACACAACCCTCTTCCGGGCTTATATGTTTGCATCTCCTGCCCTGGCCGGTTCGCTTTTCCGAATCTCCAACTTCTGTGACCCTAATGTCGTCATGGAACGGCTAGAGGAAACCGGCCGTTATAATGACCTTATCGACTTCCTGTATGGAAAGAGGATGCACCGACAAGCTTTGGAGCTCCTGCAGAAATTCGGCGTGGACGAGACGGAGACAGCTCCCCAGCTTCATGGGCCGAAGCGAACCATCGGATACTTACAAAATTTGCCCCCTGATCGAATTGATCTCATCCTCGAATTTGCCTACTGGCCGGTGCGAGAGTATCCTGATTTAGGGATGGAAATCTTCATGGCAGACACGGAAAATGCGGAGACACTACCTCGTCAACAAGTTCTGGTCTTTCTCGACGGGATTGATGAGGCCCTCGCCCTTCAATACCTCGAGCACGTTATTGGAGAGTTGAATGATATGACTCCAGACTTGCACCAGAGGCTCCTTCTCCTTTATCTGGGCCACCTGAAGAAATATCAGACCAAGGAATGGGAATCACCCGACGAAAATGCTTACCCTGCACTGCATACCAAATTCCTCGAAATGCTCAAGTGGAGTACACAATATTCACCAGCAAAAATGCTCGATAGTCTTGATCGTGATAGTAAGTCTCCTATTTTCAGCTGGAACCCCCATGGCTAATAATGATAGATCCCGAATTCTTCGAAGCAAGAGCAATCGTATTTAGCAAGATGGGTCAACATAAACAGGCTCTCGAAATATACGTCTTCAAACTCGAGGATTTTGTTAAAGCGGAAGAGTACGTTCAATATCACATTATCAGCTGGGAAGGCTTAGCTAACACTATGAACAGATATTGTAACCAGGTCCATATGGCAGAAGATACAGTCACTGCAGAGACTACTACTGCACGGCGCGCAGCCCCTGCTGATTCCGAGGAAGAGGAACCATCCATCTATTTGACATTGTTATCTCTATATCTTTCTCCGCATCATGGATACAAGCCACAGTATGGACCTGCACTTGAGCTGCTGGCAAAACATGGATCCCGCCTTCCTCCTGGCTCTGCCCTTAACTTGATACCCGAAAACCTCCCAGTCAAGGAACTTGAGTTTTATTTTAAAGGCCGTATGAGGTCTGCCAACTCTATGTTCAGACAAAGCAGGATAGCGGCCAACCTGCAGATGGCGGAAAACATCAAGAGACAGGCACAGTTGTTGGTCGGCGAAGGGACTGATGGGAAGTCCTCGCGGTCGAAGCATGTCACTATCACCGAAGAGAGAAATTGCGGGATCTGCTTCAAACGACTCGGTGGCAGTGTAATCAATGTGTTTCCAGAGTAAGCTTCGCTTTTCCCTCGAGCTTCCGGTTCTTCCACTGACATTTCGGCAGTAATACTGTTGTTCACCTTGGCTGTGCGAACCGGATTTCCACAGCTTCATGAGACTTTTTATTTTATCTCCGCCCCTTTCTGCATAAATAGAATAATGTCTGTTGTTCTTGTGCGATTGATCTACCACTGCACATACGTTTTGCCTTGATGTTTTGTTTTCTTTCTTTTTTTGTATCTCATTGATATGGTAGTTGTGTTGTCTTTTATATTTTCTTTCCGAGCCATTGGGATGGAGTGGCGGATGCTTTTCTGCCATTTGATACCCAGGATAGCGATTTTATCCCAAGAATTGAAATGCTCGCGCGTTCGGCTTTTCATGATCGTGGTAGAATATGTTGGTCATGGCTCCGTGTCATCGTGTAAGGACGTAGAGAGGACAGAAATGACCGCGCAATTTCCACGCGTAGCCTCAAACAATTACCGGGACTTTCTCTATGCATCATCCTCTTCAACGACCTCTTCTCCATAATTTGCCTCTTCCTTGGCTTCTTTCTCCGAGACTTTACGTCCTTGCGCCTCCGCCGCCTGTTTATCCTCTTCCATCCGTTGCGTCAGAAACACATTGATCTCATCCTGCAATTTAGGAGCCAATTCCCTGAGCTCTGAGAGATAGGCCACTTTGGCTTTCACGTCCGAAGGTGGGGGAGAGGATATGTGGTGTTGAAACGTGTGCGTTGTTCCAGAAGGAGGGGAATAGACGGCGTGCAGGGTGTTGGGTTGACCGGTAGATGCCATGGTGCTGATTCGGGTTTCCTTTGTCTTTCTCTCTTCGTCTTTAACCTCGAACTTGCGTATTTTGGCTGTTATAATCCTCTTTCTCCTGTTGGTGGGGGACGAGAGAAGAAAGAAATCGACTCGGGCGGGGCGAACGATCGGAAGGCGGCTTCGTTTCAATGCGAGACGGCGGAGCAAGAAGATCGACAATTATTGATGGACATCTCTCCGTCATCTCTCGCTGCTGATCCTGACCACCTAGGCAGAAATACTCGAACTCCAGAAGCAAACGAGCAGCAAAAGAAGCCAAAAAGAACATGGGGTATATGTTGCCTTTGCCCCGGTAGCTGAGCTCCACTTGTCGACCTTCCCTTCTTCCATTCCATCCGTTATGAACACGCCCTCAATGCTACGCTCCCCGGCGACGGTCTCGCCAGAGCGTCCCTCTCGATCCCCCGTCCCTCCCCCTCGCCCATCCTTCGACGACGAATTGGAACGGCCAGGCTCCTCTGGAAGTGATGCCTCTTCGGTTACCTCGAACGTGACTACGGTCTCTGCCTTTCCCCAGGTCTCTTCTCACCCCAGCCCCGGAACGGCGACCACAACTTCCACGTCTCGCCCTCGTCCACCCCGAACCTCGTCAATTACGACCACAAGCACCAACAGCAGCAACGCTTCCTCTACTGCTACTGGGAGACCCTCCGCATCCTTCATGCCACAAAATGAACAGCCGGTCAGAAGGCCGTCAGGTCGTGCAGCCCCGCCGGAGCTGCAGAGGCACCGTTCTAGACATCACTCTCAGGGCTTCTTCGAGCCATCCCTCCCAACAGCGTCTACTTCAGATGCCACACTATCCGCCTCGAGGATAGCTGCTCAGGCAGCGATGCAGCAACAGCAACAATCTGCAGCTCAACATCCGCCGAAACGACCCCAGGCTGTCACACAGAACTCCGATGATGGGTCAAGGAGCAGGAGGGGTGGGAGCGCCTCCCCTCCTCCTCCACCGCCGCCGCCGCCGTTGTTCGCAGCCCCTAACTCTGGGGGCTTCTCGGGCCAGTCATATCAGAATGGGATCGTGGGAGGACAGACTCATGCGGCTACAACTGCTGCTAATGTTGTGTTTCCCAGGGGCCCCGGGTTACAGCCGCCCGGCATGTCTGCGGAGCAGCCGGCTCCTGAGCGGGAACACAAGCACAAGGGAGAGAAATCCAAAATGAAGCTTTTCTCTAAGCCCAAGCATATCGGGATCAGTCGCGACAAAGATCCTGGGAAGGACAAAGGCCTACCCTCTCCGAGTAAGATGGGATTCCCTGGTGTGTCGCGAATTGTGAGCGCGTCTACTACCAGCTTAGCAGATACTATGCCGACAAACAATTCGTCGATGTATAACTTGTCCAATGCGTCCGTGAGCACGGTAGTGCCCGCTGACAAGCAGACAATCAACGAAAAGGAGAAGGACAAGGACAAGGATAAGGCCCATAAGCATCATTTGTTCTCGCGACAAAAGTTAAAGCTTAAGGATAGAGATGATCATAAACATCTGCCTCTCTCATCAGCTTCGAGTAATTCGAAGCCTTCGGATCCAAATGCTCCACAATCGCTTTACTCCTTCATGCCAGCATCTCCTGGTCCCCACACAACAACATTTCACAAATCAGTGAGCGGTTTAGATCTTTTGCATGGTGGACGGAAGAAGAAAGAAGAGAAAGCGCTGGCAGAATCAGAGCAAACTGAGTGGTTGGCAAATTCGAGCGCAAACAATGGCACACCAGCTGTATTCCCTGGCCCATCGTCACTAGGAAGCTCAACAGGGGTTTTGGCCGAAGCCGCATTAAGGGAGACTCTCCAAGGCTTTGGTCTCAACAACATGACCCCAGAGGATGCGTGGGACTTCCTGAAGGCAAAGCTTCTGGTCATCTTTGACGGTGAAGATGTTCGCATCGCTATCGAGGATCTCAATAAACTGGTGCTGATCCACATCCAACGCTGTGTACAAAAGCGGACACCTACAGCTATTGTGGATGATCTGCGGGAGTTGCTGGAGACCGGATTTGCATCATTGAATCATACATTAAATGGAGTCCCTGATGAGAAGTTGGTCCCGCATCTGGTACAAATATGGATGCTAGTGTTTGGTACAATCCTGCCATTTATACAGGCTGTGTTTCTACCGCTAGATCTTGAGTTCAAAGGATGTGGGTCCGTGATGAGCTTTCGAGAAGCCCAAGAATTCTGGGGTGGGCTTCGCAGTCAAGAATCCCCTGGCGGTGCATTTGAAGTTCGCAATCTTGTTTTAACAGCATTCCGTGACATGGTCGTTCTCTTCCGCTACGACGGTCTAAAGAGTACATTTTCTCGGTTGAGCCTCGACAACATCAACATGGGCTCATCTGCTCTCAGCGTGACGACAAAGAGCAGTGCAAATAGCGGACGGCCCGGGACGGCTGCATCGTTTGACGCTGGCTTTGGCACTAGCTACAGCTCGCAGACCTCTACTCTGCTCAACGCTGCTGCTAGCTACTCTTCGGACTCAATGAGCTGCAACCGCAGCCGTGCCGCATCGAACACGTCCTCAAATCCCGACCAGTTGATCTTCCAGTCCTTCTCATCACCGCCACAACGGCCGACCATCATCCACCGGTCCTCGCATACTGCAGATACTTCCCAGGTTATAACGGAAACTGTAGGGCGGATGCTGCAATGTGTGAGCGTTCTAGCCAGTGTACAAACAGATGATGGGGCGCAGGAGAAGATCGAAATTCTCAGCAAGGCCCTCAAGCACAATTGGCTCGGACGTGGGCGGACAGGAAGAGATCGACGAGGATTTGTCGGGGCCAAGGTTCGACCAGCTATCGTTACGCGGACTGATAGTGATGATTCTACGAGGAATGCAAGGAATGGCGATTTGGAATGGCCTTTGCGGGACGGGCGTCGGGAGCTGGGTGTTCAATGAAACAATCGAGGCGCATGCATCTTTTTTTTCACCTTCCATTTCTTTTCTTTTCTTTTCTTATTTTTTTCTTGGCTTATTTTTGTCTGGTACAAAGAAGATACCTCTGCTGGCGTGAATATGGACGATTTTGCTTTTTTGTCTGTCTATTTCAGGGCGTCAAGTATCTCACACCTGGTCAGCGTCTTATGGCTACGTGATGGTCCTTGGATGGTACCTAGTTTCGGGATATCGTTAGAGTAAATGACGAATTTTATGACATTGTTTGGGCCTACCATTTCATTCTGATATGTGCCAGAACTCTTAACATTCGAAGGTAGAGTTATTTGAATTTGATCACCCAGGGGTATGCGGAATGAATTCATCGCCATTAGCCTTGTGCTCCTATTCCTATGTCCATCCTTATCCCAGTCGAATCCCCCATGCAAATTCGTGACTCCCAATGAACCAGTCAGTCAAAATGCAAATTGTACCACCATAAACCTGGGCCGATGCATGTCAATATCGAAAAAAAACCAAACCCTGCTTTCACTCCTCGTTATTGGAAACCGGTTCCGCCCCATTGGAGTTCTTGCTCAACTCCTTGTATTTCTTCTGCAGGGCAGCAAGGGGGTATTTACTTCCGCCATCCGCTTCGATCGACTCCGAGATTTTGTGCCACTTTTCCTGCTCGAACCTGTCTTCGATTTCTTTCTTGAACTTGATAAGTCTGGCTTCCTGTTTTATTGGCAAAGAATTACAGTGTTAGCGACTCGCATCAATCAGTCACACCATGCTTTCCAGGAAACAACATACATCCGACCCGGAAATCGAAACAAAGTTAGTCTTCATGGTCGTATAGCGCATTCGGAGCGTGGTGCTTCCAATCTGGGTACCCGTCATAGCAGTCCAAGCGGAAGTGATATCCGCCCAGCCCCGGTTCTCGTCATCTCTCATACGCAAGATCATTTTGTCGAGGATAGAGGCCGCCTCGAGAGTCGTGGGGATCGGGCCCAAGTTGTTTGCCCCCTTCTTCGAGCCTCTTCCTGCCTTGGCCTTTTCTGTTTTTCCCTTTTTGGTGGGAGTGCCCTCGTTGTCCTCTCCGTTGGTGGTGGTATCGTTTTCGCTGGCCTTCTTGCGGCCGCGCTTGCGAGGCGTAGACGCCGGGTTTGAGGGGTTGGCCTGGATATATTCGTTAGCTCTTGCGTTTCTGGTACAGGCTGCACATAGAGATTAAGGGCTGGGGTCTTGCCTCTTCGTCCTGTTCGGCCTTGACCTTGACAGGAGCGGGGTTTTCGACTTCCTCTGTCGCCATGGAGATGTCTTTGGCTTCCGTCATATTGTTGATTGGGGTAAAGGGAGATATATTTGTGGTTTGTTCGAGAGGATCAACGGGGTAGAGCTCGTCTAGTTCCATAGGTAGAGAGAGGAGCTGGCAGTGGATAGTTTGTGTTATGGGTTAGGGGTGGAGATAGGTGAGTAGGGTTAAAGAGAAGAAGAGGGGCTTGTTCCTTAGAAAAGAAAAGTCGAGGGTTGCAACGGACTGGGCTCGGTCTGTTCATGTAGTGAATAAAGGAAAGGTAGAGCTTCATTTATATCCAGAGTCTTTTATATCAGCACCGTGGATTCTAGAGAAGGTCTCCTTCGTAACTGTTAACTGATATCTAAGAAGCATCATGGAAAGTTCCATGTCTTTTCTAATTAACTCTCTTCTGCCTTGTGATAATGTCTGCCTGAAATATTGTGACTCCTTTCAGTGTAGTCAATTGTCAGTGGATGATGACTTGGGGGTGAACCCAAAGTGAAGGCGAAGTGAAGTGAGAGAACATTGAATATCATATCAACTTTTGATCAAATAAAACCAAGCCAACTCTGAAAAATGCACCCCTCACCTGTCTATACTATACAAATTACACTACTACCGGCTTTAACTAGTCAGCAATGCTATCATATTTCTTTTTCCAGCACAGGTTGAAAACCATCACGCTGATCCCAGCAACGCCACGAAGAACCACGTAGTCATCTGTCAACTTCAAGCCAGCCAGGTTCCTAATCTCTTGAATACAGCCAGTTTATTGACTGGAACTACCATCACATGGTGAAGCTCGATGATCCTGGTCGATTTTGAATCTATTCGTCGAGGATTCCCTGTTCGGATGCTGTGATGAAGGCAAGTCTTACATGGCTTATTGATTCGTTATTAAATGAGTAAATATAGATTATTCCGACAGTCAATAGATGGAAATCATTTCCACGCCTGACATAACAGCCCATCCGATTCTGTCATTCGGCAAAATTACCGTCCCCAGCAAAAGTACCTGCACAAAGTACTCCGTGCTGCACGATTCTGTCAGTCAGGGATTTAATCCCTTCATCCACGGATCAACTAGAATGATCAGCTTCTGCGTAAGCAGGAGAAAGATCGGCAGTTGCAGATGGTCTAGTTCTTTTGTGGCTTGGGGTGTTTTTGCTTTTCCCCGTGTCTGCATTTGTGCCATGATTTGGGGAATCTATCGTGTTGTGATGGAGGTATGGATAGTATTTCGATGGTCACAAGTATTTTGGTTGAATTGATAGATGGAAGATCTTTGAATAATAAATTATTAGAGGAGAATTAAAGGAGAGAAGAATGGAAATATCCCACCGCTGTATGGGCTGGATAAGAGCGAGAGAAACATTTCGTGTTCCACCGCTGGTCTGTCAATCTTCTCTGGATCCAAGACCGGCAAACAAAAGCCGGCCAGAAAACATGCTCCCTGGCTGCTCTTTGAGGAGACGAACATACATTTTTTTTTTTTTTTTCGTGGGTCTGGGATGAGACTTGCAGGATCAACGCCTGACAGGATGATTGTGGTTGTGATTGGAAGGATGACTGCAATCAGGGATGCAAGCCCAGACAGAATCGCCAAAGAGAGGCTCTCCCAGCAGCAGGCATCACCAGTGTCTTCTTTTAAAATGCTCTCTTCTCGCTTACTCTAGGGGAACGCTCGTTCTTTTTCATTTTCTTCTTTGTTTTCTTTTCTCTCTTTGCTGGCCTTAGTGATTATATACTGGTATTCCTGCTAACCATCAATCCTCGTTCTCCTCAAGCTGCAGGATAGCACCTCACCGCCAGAACAACTTCGCCCTCCTTCTAACTACATTCTGTGCGATCCAGCGAAGCAAGGCGCGACACGGTTCGGGATAGCAGTTTTGATTTTCATACAGCGGACACGTCAGTTGGACATCTTCGGTCAGTTCAAATCCTCTTCCCTCGCTTGCTGCTCTTTCTCTTTTCCCGCTAGTTCTCTGTTCTTCTCTTCTCTCTGGCATTCAAAAACCCTCTATCTCGTCAATCATGTCCACTGACTCTGGTCAGATTGAATCCAGTTCCAAAATCTCGCCGTCAGACGAGAAGCAGAGAGATTCCAATCGCGCTGCGGTCTACACTCCATCCTCCACTCCACCCTCCGAAGCTCCACAGCGGGCCCAGTCCCCCGAAAGCATGGCTGATTCCTCCGCACCCACCTCTGGGGCTGCCGAAACCAAACACGAGGTCGAGCCATCTGGCGACAATAGCGCTGTCAAGTCAGATGCAAAGCCATCCGTGCCTGTTCCAGACACTTCCTCCCAGAAGGCCGCATGCAAGAAGCACCCAGTGAAGGAATCTGGCACCAGTCGCAAGCGTGATGGGAAAAAGAAGACCCACAAGCAAAACAAATCCTCCTCGTTGACCAGCGAAAGTTCTTCTGAATCGACCTCATCATCTGACAGCTCTGATGCCAGTGATGCCGATTCCGATTCCGATACTACTGACTCCCAGTCCACCTCTGAGTCTGATGAGGCCGACAAGAAAAGGCGAAGACAGCGAGGAAAGAAAACCAAGAAGGTGCCAAAGGGAAGTAGTAGAAAGAAAAAATCTTCTCGGTCGCACTACCAAGCAGAGTCAGAGTCCGATCCTGACGATAGTGATGATGGCAACTCCTCCCTCGACGAAAAGACCTTGAAAAAGCTCGTGACCAAACTCAAGGCAAAGAGAAAGGCCAAGATCCATTCTAAAGACTCATCTGAGGAACAGGAGGAAGATGATGATGACTCTGATTCGGATAACATAGCACTTCTTCTGGCCAAGGAGAGATTGGCGGTCATTAGACTCAAGCTAGCCGATGGACGTCAGGCCAAAAATCGCGGCAAAAGGGGTTTAGGAGAAGGCCAACCAGACGGCCAGAAAAGCTCACAGAAGTCCAAGGGCAAGAAGAAACCGGCCTCCAAAGTAGCTTACAAGCGGGTAGATCAATGTGCGTCGAGTACCCCCTTATTATGCTTAGTGCTAACTTGATGGTTACCATTATAGTATGGGACAATACAATCCACAACTACAAGCTGACAGAGACTGTCAATGATCCCGATGCCAACGAATGGGACCAATACATCTTCACTGTCCGTCGCAAGTTTAACTGGGAAAACAAGTATGTGGAGACAGTTGTTGATATCAAGAGCAAACACCTCCGGGATGCCTTGTCCAAGGTTATGGATGGTGTCAAGGGTGTGAGCTTAGTACAAGAGACTGCTGTTGTCGACCCCAATATGCTTTTCTTATATCTCGAGGAAACGCGTCAGCACATGAATGATCTGAAGCAGCTTGCCAAAACCGAGAAAAAGAAAAAGGCGAAAAAGGTGGCTGCGTTAAAGGTAGCTCACCTCAAAATCCTCATCAAGTATCTGGACGCCGACTATTCTGAGACAAAAAAGACACTGTACCCATTGCTGGAGGCCAACATGATCACTTTCGATTTGCTGTGGGCGCTGTTCAAACCAAACACAATTGCATACTCCCCGACCTATGGGAACCAGGATGAACCGCGCGCCTTCAAAATTGAGTATGCAACAAAGGAGTCATCCTTCATGAAGGGCCAGTGGTATAGCATCGAAGGCCGCTATCTGGAATACGACGGCAAGGCTTTTGGTATGGGAACAATGTCAGCAGACGTGGAGGCCTTTAAAGGAGCTCGCAAGATCACCAGCCTCGCATGCTACCCGCTCAAATACCATCGTGAGGCAGACGACGTCAGAGTCAAATTGATCGAACGGGGCAAGAAATTTGTATCTCTTAGGGGTATGAACTATCGGTTTCACAAGGGCATGGCATTTTTCAAGAAGAAGCGCAATGTTATCAAGGTCAATATCAATGGACGGGTGATGATTGATCCCGCTATTCACCGCCGTATCAACCCCAATTATCCCATTAGCACTGTCCGTCCTAAAGACCCTGATCTTCTAGGTGGTTCTGATGATGATGCCAGCGATGATGGGTGTGGCTGTGCGTTGGGATCTGATTCAGATCAGGATTCAAACCACCGTCGGGACTCTGATACTCCCCAGCACATGTACAAAGTCATCCAAGATAAAGAGGGCAAGCCACATGTGGTGGAGGTCGAACTGGATGAAAATGGAAATGAGATCCAAAAGGAGAAGATGGATGACGTTCAGGATCCTTCGGATCGGGAGTTCAGCGAGGAGGAGCTGCTGATCGCCAGCCCCGTCGTCCTAGGGTTTGCCTTTAGTGAGAAGCTGTGGTTAGAATTCAGTATCTCAGGCGTCAGTGAGATTGACTGGAACGAGAAGGCATTTGACTCACTGGTCCTCCCTGATAACCAGAAGTCTATCGTCAAGGCACTGGTTGAATCCCACACGTTCCGCGCCGCACAGAATATTGACGACGTCATTCAGGGCAAGGGTAAGGGACTTGTCGCTGTGCTCCATGGCCCACCAGGTACAGGCAAGACCCTTACTGCCGAAGGAATCGCAGAGCTTCTCAAACGTCCGCTATACATGGTGAGTGCAGGAGAGCTCGGAACTGACTCGCGAACTCTGGAGGGCGAGCTCAACAAGATTCTGGACATCGCACACTCCTGGGGAGCCGTGCTTTTGCTCGACGAGGCAGACATCTTCCTTGAGAAGCGCACAATTCAGGATATCCATCGCAATGCGCTGGTCAGCATCTTCCTTCGTCTTCTCGAGTATTTCCAGGGCATCCTCTTCCTTACCACGAACCGGGTAGAGACTTTCGACGACGCCTTCCAGTCCCGTATTCATGTAGCATTGCGGTACGGAGATCTCACCACCAAGGCCAAGCGAAGCGTGTGGAAGATGTTCTTGGAACGCGTGCAAGCCATGGAAGGTTTGCAAACTGCGAAGTTCACTGAGAAAGACTTTGATGCACTGGCCCGCCATAATTTGAACGGGCGTCAGGTGAGCTAACCAAATATTTTATTTCTTCGTACCTGTCTTCTATCGATACTAACAATAACCAGATCAAAAACTCGGTCCGCACCGCCCAAGCTCTCGCTGTCAACGAACAATCTCCCTTGTCCATGGAGCACATCAAACGTGTACTGGAAGTAGCCGAAACCTTCGATCACGATCTCCGCGGTGGAACGGGATACATGGATGCTATGAGAAGCTACACTTAATATTTGGTTATTCCTTTCCTCTTCTTTTTCTGATACGGTTTTTTATGACGTGAATGGCTTTTGTTTATTTCTTTTTTTTTTTTTTTTTTTTT